TCCAGTGATCAGTGGAGAAGGGAGGGACATGTGAGGATCAGTTGTGATTAAACAGGGGTAGTGGCTTGGTTTTTTTGGCACAAGAGTATCAGCATCAGAAATTTGTGAAAATTAATTTTTGAAACGCAGGCAATACACTTATCACACCCGGAAAATTACTGATTTTTCCAAAAATGTCATATCCCTTCAGAAAAATGGTGACCAATTGACTCTTTAGCCTAAACCTAAGTCCCAAAACCGAATAGAAATATTACATTAAAAAAGGTTCACAGTCTGCCATTCATGACATCTCCTTATGAAAATGCCCCTTGCTTGGATATCATAGTAAGTAATAAAACTCCAGAACCTTTGGAGTCACTGTCCTCAAACAAGTGTAGCGATAAGAAATTCTGACTCGTTTCTGATGTTCATTGCTATACAATTTTGTCTGTGTCAATGATTCTGTTATGGCATTACTAGAAGCGAGAACATTATCACACCAAAAATGTAATGGGATGATAGTATTGGTCTCCATTTACAAAAATCAAATGCATTACAATGTGTACGGCATATTATTGGGGTCTCATTAACCAAAGCGGAGGTTAAAGAAGTCCTTTGGAAAACAGAACATAAAATCAACAGAACTGTGCTCTTATTTCCCCGATTGTTTACTATGAGCATTGATAATGAAGAATGACAGACCTGAGGCAACAGATACAAACAATTGATGTCACATCATTTATATTTGATGAGAAGCAGATAGTTCAAAGGTTTGTAACGGATAGCCAAGAAACTCACCTCTGTTCTGCTCTCTCCTCTTGTTTCGTTCCGCTTCCTCATTGGATGTCTTTAGGGATCGTGTTAACACAGAGCGCCCATAAAATCTACTGGGCACGTGTTTAGGCATTCGAGAAAACATATCATCTGTAAAATAGTTCCTATGTTGCAGGTCGTCAAACCATGCGCCTTCGTACTCGGGATATTTATTTTTTGGTTCAGGTATTTTGCCGCACACAGTAGGATGGTCCATTAGGTCTTTGGTCATGACACTGGATCCACACTTCTCGCAGCGCTCCGTCCGAGCTCCACAATACTCCTCGTGTTCTCCAAGTTTTTTACAGGCCAGCTCCAGCTCACAAAACTGGCATTTTATTAAGCGAAGGGGACAAGCAGAGTTCTACAAAAAGAAATCACATTGGAGTATGATAAAGTTCTGTATAATCCTAGAACCGTTTTTAGCATAATTGGCCTCATTTATCAAAGCGTTTACAATCCCAACTGCACCAAAGCAACCAGACCAGCTGGGACTGCATTATGAAATGACAGCTGAAAAAAATGAACACTTAAATCTGATTGGCTCCTCTAGGGTAAGAGTTCTTATTTGGGGAACAGAATAAACATGGCTTCTTCTAATCATAGTGTTTTACTGTCAAATAAGTTACATTACTTATACCATTTGAAAGCATGCTGTGTTTCCTTGCAGTAACATGGGCTAATTTATCAAAACAGAAGCAATTACCTTTCTTTTCTTCGGAGGGAAGATAACTGGGAACTTGCTTGTGTGGAACAGCTCTGTTTTTGGACCAATCACTTATTTCTAGTTTTGATACATCAGCTTCTTGGGGAGCCTTCCAGCGAACCTCTTCCTGACCTTTTTATCAAGTCTAGGTGGTGTCAGTTTATATGCTTAGATTAGGAATGCCTTTAACTTAGAATAGCTCAACGGTGATGCCAGGTTTGCCATTTCTGGCTAATGGGAATGGGACTTCCATACAGTATAGTCAACAGGAAGGCTCCACATTTGAAATGGCTGGTGCAACACCACATAGAAATTGTCTTATAACATTGTTAAAAGGAGAACTATTGGGAAAGTAAAATGTACTCTTCACAATACTTAGAGCTGGCGTGTGACACTGCAGGCTCTATAGAGCTGAGCGATCACATACCGCTAATTGCTCAGCTCACGGTCTTCTACCGGCAGAGAGCAATGACTGTCAGTCCCGGTTCCCTCCCCTCTCTGTTCCTCCAGCACTCAATGGAGTGACAGACAGGGAAGGGGCAACCACAGCTGGCTCTGGCTCTAGAAAGGCAGAGCCAGCTGTCAATCGGGTAGCCAATTATCACACAATTATTGTTGGGATCTTTCCTGGCTGCAACACGGCTCTGCGTTGTCCGCAAATAGCAGGCAGTAGCCCACAAAATGCAGGTTGATGATTGGAAGATGATTAAAAAGGAGAACTATGGGGTCAGGGCTTTTCCCCATAGTTCTCCTTAGGGTAACGGGAGGACACAAACTAGCGCCCTCCCGTCACCCAAAGCTCAGTATACCGCGAACTACTGCTCGCGGTATACTGAGATGCCGCAGCCGGGACAAATCCAGAAATGGTCTGGATCCACCCAGCTGCGTGAGTGACAGCTGGCTCTGCCTATCTAGAGGCAGAGCCAGCTGTACCCGCCCCCTCCCCCGTCCGTTCCACCAGTCAGCGCTGGAGGAACGGGGAGGGGGGGATCCCTGCAGGGAGCCGTGAGTGACAATCACGGCTCTCTGCAGGGACAGGATCGAGCGTCGGTATGTGTTCACTCACTTCCCGATCTATTGAGCCGACCTGTGGACAGTTTCATTGTCACAGATCGGCTACAGCTAGGAGGCTGAGTGATTTTCACTCGCCTCATAGTTCTCCCTTAAAGACAAAAGAAAAGAAGGTTTGGCTTTAGCTCTCATATAATGTGACACACAGAAATTGCATCACAAATTACACAGCAAAAACTAACCTTTGTTTATTTCCCCAATGACTATACAGATTTGTGGATAATTTAGCATCACACTGGAGGCCTTACAATCACCACAATAGTAATAGAGGAGGTTATAGTGTACGTAAACCCAAAATGTATTTTTCGGTATGTCTGGTATCATGTCTCACCAAATACAGGTTCAGAACCAAATGATGTTTGTACACAGAAGGGTGACAATGCCACTGCCAATTGCTTAGCGTTGTCAGCCTGACACTGACAGGTAAAAGACTGCAAAAGACTCAAATTATTTGCTTAAGAAGACTCTATATAGTGCACCATGATAGAAAGCATACCAAAAACAAAAGAAGAAATTGTGGGTTTACATTTACACACTTTAGAGATTAGCCTCATAGATTTATTTTTTTCTGTCTAGCACATTCAATTTTTTTTCTTTTTCTAAAAAAAAACAAAAAAAAAAAACTGCACTTTATCAAATAAACCTGTATGTCTTCAGTGAAGCTTTACTTTAAGTTACTTGCTAACAAAATTAGGTTTTAAATTTTTCTTAGGAAGGTGAAGATGGGGGCTGAAAAAGGGTTGGCTTCCTTTATAAATATCCATGCGGCACACGGCCCAATGCTCATAGAGTTTTACTTTCAGTTTGGAACTTTGTTTTGCTGCAGGATGTCTGGGACTTTCCACTGGCTATAAAATGGCAACATTTACCAACAGATAAGCCAAGGTAGCAAGACGGAAAAGATAACTTATGACAATCCCAATCACTGTTTACACTACAATGCAGTACATCATATACAGTGTAAACGTATTTACTGATCAAGTATTTCACATGTATCTAATTGTGTCATTTTGTGGCTGAAAATGTATAAACATAATCAGACATTTCTAAAAAGCCATTTTGATTAAAAAAAAAGAAGATAAAAATGGACTGTGGGCTGCAGCTGGCAACAGGCGTGTGAGATCACCCGATGCCAAGCAGGTGTGGCGGTCATACGCCTCGCCTCCAGGATGGCGGTGTGCGTGCATGCACAGAATGCGCCGGTGGCCGAATCCAAAATAAACATTTGTTTTGATGAAACTAATAAAAACATTTTTGTGTGTTTTTTTTATTCCAGCATGTACACCTGGTTGCTTGAATGGTCAACTGTACAGCACGCAGCGTTGCCCAAAGTTACCTCACAGCGTTAGCGCAGCATTGAACCAATTGGACCTAAAAGCACTTTTGCAGCATCTCCGTATGTTGTTTCACAGAGTAAGTGCATAATTCCTCCAAACCTACTTCACAGCATTTATACAACATTGCACTACGTTTCCTCAAAACATTAGCAAAGCATTCCCCTAGAGCATTTGTGCAGCATTCGCCCGCACGACCGCAAGGCATTTGTGCAGCATTGGCTCACGTTACCTCTCAGCACTGTTTCACTTTGTGAAACCTTGCATTCTGCCATGCGAGAAGGGAAACACACAATCGAAGGTAAATGGTCTATAAGTTGTGGAAAGGTACTGACCTCATGCTCCTCCAGCAAATTCTTCTCCATGGTCATATTACATTTACAGGTCACCTGCAAAAATCCCAAATAATATCAGTGAGGTTTTATTGTATGTACAGTAATGATAGGGAGATTATATATATTACACATATATACAGACACACGATGTTGTATTCCAAAGCTTGAAGTA